GTCAGTTGAAGTATTTTTCTGTAAATGTGAATTTTGACAGGAAACAATTCTTGGAGCCCGGAGAATCGGTGCTCATGATCTCCAATGTAAAGAAATTGCAGAAACTGACAAACAAGAAAGTGCAACTTATCCTGACGAACAAACCAAAGTTAATTTATGTGGATCCTGCAAAACTTGTGGTCAAAGGAAATATAATATGGTCCGATAATCCTAACGATCTCAGCATTCAAGTCACAAGCCCTTCAAATTTCAAGATTTGCACAGTAAGTCGTGCTTAATGAGATAGATACATATAAGCATTATTTTCTTTAGTCGCAATCTGCTTGTTCAATGTCTTTATTAATTAAATTAATGCTTACTTACTATTGACATTCATACCAAATATCATAGTTTTATACATTTCGATGCAGCCAAAGAAGGTTATGTCATTTGAGGATGCGAAACAAAGAGCAATGCAATGGAAAAAGGCAATTGAGACCCTTCAAAGCCGGTGAATCTTTGTTGGTGATTTCGATCACTTATTCTTTGAATACAACAAACTAATTGGGACATCACAAAATGGTATAGAGAAGACACATTTATCATTTTCACGACTAAGGATAATCTCATGGGAAATTTTGTCTTTCATTTGAATGTCATTTTTGTTTATATATATTCTTTCTTTTTATGTTTATTTCCTTTGATAGTCAAAATCTAGTTGAAAGAGGAAAAGAAAGAACACTAAAAACAAACATCTCTAAGCTCGAAATTTTACACAACAAGATTACAATAAATTTCATCAAATCATAAAATTAAAAAAACTAATTACATAAAGTATAAATTCTAACACTGACACAAAAATACAGAGAAAATACAGAGTAATAGATATGTTAATACACAGGTTAGTCATATGACCTCTCTGAAATATAAAGGCATCTCATCTTTCCCGTGTCTAATTGTATCCCTTAGAGAAAATTAACTTACTCTTCCATCACTAAGAGCAAGTCCAACTGCGCTACATTTATTTATTACGCCAGAGTTGTTGAAAATTTATTATCCAGTGTTGCGCTAGATTTTTATGCCAGATGAGATATATCTACAGTACTGCGCTTGATGTGGCACAGTACTATTCATCTGCGCTCAAAGTTTTTTTTTTTTGTTTTTCTTTTATATATCAATTATATAATTTTTGTGTAGGGTTCCATCACTATATTGTTTTTTTTCTTTTTTGTTTATATATAATTTTTTTGTGTAATATTTGTATATAATATTTTTATATATAAACATATATATTATTAAAAATTGATAACTTAATTATAATTTTATTTTAAATTTATTAATTAAAAATATCTACTAATCATATATTGATAATTTAAATAACTAAATATGTGTAAGATAATATATTTATTATATTATATTTTTGTCATTCTAATTAATTTAAAATAATTAGAATAAAATGTAAATATTCATGTAGAGTAAAAAGTAGCGCGAACGGTTGGAGAAGAACTTTGAATGGTGGTTAACTCTACTCTAGAGTAGAGTAGAGTACATTCTACACTAGAGTAGAGATAAAGGGCTGCAGATGGTCTAAGCAGCTATACGAGATAAATCATCACAAAAAAAATGTCATGATATTTTGATAAATTACAATTAAGTGAACAAACCTAATGTCCAAAAATCCCATAAAAATAGTAAAAATACCGAGTGACAAGAGGGAGGCTAGAAACAGGCGGTGAGTCACGTCCGACAGCGAGGGGGGTCCGCCTGAAGAAGAATGGTCGCTGAAGGCCGAAGGGTTTGTGAGTTTCTGTTATTTATTATGTACTTATGTTTGTTCCAAGGGCACCCTTTTTTTTAAAAAAAAAAAACTTTTAACTNAAAAAACTTGCTGAGCTCCGCCATCGTCCTGCCTAGCCTCGCCTGCTACCGCATAAGCCAGACGAACTCGCCTAGCCGCCGAGACCGCCGAGGTCGTCTAGGCAGCTCCGAGCCCGTCTGGCCGATTTTTAAGGCCGACTCGACCAAATCGTCGGTGTCGGGATGTTGCCTAATGCCTAGGCGCCGCCTAGCCCAATTTTTAGAACACTGATGATTGGGTTCAAACACATAGTATCCATTTCGACATTTATTTCAAACCAAATTTCAGTTGATGTGATATTTTTGATGACTAGATTGTTAAAAAAAAAAAAAAAAACGTGCAGCTACTCTAATGTGAATTAGGGTTTTAGTTAAGTGTATTTGAATACAAGGAGGTAATTGAGGAGGGGAATGGAAGGAGTAACAATTTATTTGTTCCTAATTTTGGACTCTTAGACGTAATTTAATCTAATGTTAATTTAAGGGTTATTAAACTAACTGTAGGGGCTACTGTTAGTAACTTAGTGGGTCACAACAGCTCGACACCCGTGCAGAGTTGCCACTTAAACTCAATGCATACTGAATAATTAATTACATTTTGGAGCATCAGACCATGAGCAATGACGGACTTAGATGAGGTCCAGGAGGAGCCATGGACCCCACTGATTTTTTTTCAAAAAATCATTGCATATATACATATAAAAAAATATTATGAAATATAGATAAAAATGCAAAAAAAATATCTATAATATATAAACAATTAAAAATTAGTTTTTATGCTATTTTAATATAAATTAATAATATTATATATTTATTGGAAAATAGCCTAACAATCTTATATTTTACATTGTTCGACAACTTTTTGAAAATATTTATAATCTTTCGGCCTCTTAATTATAAGTCGATTTAGTGATTTATAAAAACGAGTAACTGATTGGATTGTTAGATTTTTTTATGTAGATTTTAACTTTTTTTGTGTAATCACATATTTTTAGATTTGTTTTTTCTTAAAAAATAGTCATTTGATAAACACACATCAACAAAAATGCTATGCAATGTGCTGTAAATGTTCATCTTAAATCAAATTTTCAACCATAAAACTTATTTTCATAAATTATAGATGTTGAACTTAAATTATACATGATTTTTTTTTTTTAAATTTTGAGGGTGATACTGATTATAAGTTTGTAAAAACTTGATGGTACACATATCAATATTTATATTTATATAAACACATTTTTACATTAAATTAGCATTTCGACTTAAACTACAAGCTCGTTATTTAACATTTAAAATCGGACTCTCCTAGTAAAATTTCTAGATCCGTTACTAACCACGAGTCCATATTATGTTTGAGTGTTAGAATGAAACACCAAACTAATATGTATATTCCAAATTTCTTATATAATTTCATTTGGTTTTGAAAGGAACAAAATTCAATGATGAGATTGTAACTTGAGATAATGATATTGAGTAAATTCTCTAAATATGTAATAAAATTATTTATTTATTTATTTTAAGAATAGGTTGGAAAGGAGAAAATGGAATAAGTCGGGGACTGATGAACAAGTTTCCCACAACTATAACAATGCCTGCTTCGCTCTGAAATTTCCCTCCCACTTTGAGACTGTTCAGATTGTTTTTGCGTTTCTGGGACAATGCAGAGCACGTTCCCACCTCAACGCCCCGCCGAGTCGACTCACCACCGTCTAATTGAATTCGTCAAAACTGCCCTCATCAACATCTTCGTCTCCCCTTACGCCACCGTATCGCTCCCTGCCTCTCTCGTCATTTTATTTTCAGTTTTTTGTTCTGTATAGTTAATAATACACTGTCTGAGGTCGTATTTCTTACATATATGGATTTTCCTTTTCCCTATTTGAATGAGGTTATGCAATGATATTTTGATAGGTATGTGATTTGTATTGTGGGAAAGTAACTGATGAGGAAAAGTGGGATGAAGCTCAGATTGGTCACTATATTGGCATTGGTAAATCCATGATCGTGCACATTTATTTCTCAGTTGCATGCTGTTTTATTTCCCTAAATTTTGTTGACTATGCTGGGCCTAAGGTGTTTGCATAAATGTCTGTAAGTAAATAATTTGGTTTGCTGTTATTTAGTGATTATTGACAGCTTGTTCTGAAATCACATACCATTTCTTGTAATTATTAATGATTTAGTGATTATTGACAGCTTGTTCTGAAATCACAGACCATTTCGTGAAATTATTAGTTGTTTGGTGTTTAAGACTAAAATCATTGAATATTCACAGACAACAGTTGTAAATTCATTCTTAGGATGGCTTTTTAAATGACGTCTCTTTCTAATATTGGCAGTTATTTTACATAAAAACTTAATGTGTTTCTGTTATTTGACAACTGGACTTTCGTTCTAAAGGTTCTCTAGAACATGAACTTGATAGTGTCATGTCGTTACTCAGCATTACTTGCACAATTGTTATTCTTTTGTATTTTCACATGGTTGAATGTATCGTATCGGAGTCTTTTTTTGGTGTATGATGTGGAAATTTAACTTTGTAGACGTAGCGACGTCTGGAGTTAGTGAAGTGCGGGAAGCCTGGGAGAGTCGACACAAGGCTTACACTTCTGAGTTTCTCGAGTTTGATCCTTGCATTGTAAGCCATTGACACCCATGAATATGTATACTTATACTATAAATACTTTCTGCTATTACTTTGAAGGCAGGTCGATCAGGAATTATCTATATTGGATGAATTGTTGATGTCTGCATGAAGTAACTTCCTGAATAGAGTACTAGAATGTAGGAAGATGAAATTGTTTCACTAAGAGAGTTTTCTAAAGGTTCTTAGCAAAAGTAAAAATAAAAAAATAATAGATAAATGAATTTTGGAATTTGATTTTATTATTATTATTATTTATTTTATGTTTTCTTTGCTTTAAGTTGATCATGGTGCATTATAGTTTATTTGACATATACACGTCCTCTACAGGAAGATGTTGACTTGCATTGGAAGAACAAGGAAAACCAGGCTGACATTGTTTTTTGCATGCAACATTTGCCGGTATGAGATCTTTATGGTGGCGTCTATTGGTAAGTATGTGCCATAAGACAACCTTTGACATAAACCTTGAACATGTGTATTGGCAGTTATGTGTTGAAACTGAGGAGAAACTGAGGAGACTGTTGCACAATGTCTCATCTTTGTTAAAGCCAGGAGGTTACTTTCTCGGTATTACTCCCGACTCATCTACTATATGGTATGGTTTAATACTGCGATATTTTTGCTTACATTTTTTTCCCAGTTATGCGATTCCTTCATTGGGCATTTATTTGCTTCCTTTTTGCTTCTGATCTAACTAAATATGATTTTGAATATTTGAGTGTTACGAATTAAAGTTATTGCATTAGAATTTGTACGAGCATTTTATTATAATCACTAATCAGTTCGTCCCCAATACTATTTTACTGGTAATTGACGGATGCTTTTCCATCCGTAGCCCGTATGGGCTTAGCTAATTGGGGGCTCTAGTTGTGCTAAATTACAGCAAAAATTGTCTTGATATCTTTTATATTTTCTGTCTTTACCATATGTCATCAGCGTTATATAAACATTCCTTTCTTCTGTCTTGCATTTATGAGATCATGGGGCATGCAAAGGTTATTGGAAGTGCTTTTACAATCTGTCTACTGTATGTACCTGTCTGCTTTACCATCAGTGGGCTGAGATTTTCTCAAGGTTTTTATGGATTTCAATAAGGATTGTGTAACATATTGATTTGAAGGGCCAAGTACCAGAAGAATGTTGAAGGATTTCACAATAAGAGTGGTGGAATTAAGCCCAGCAATTTTCCAAACTCCATTAGATCGGAGAGCTACATGATCACCTTTGAGGTTGAGGAAGAGAAGTATGTGTTCAATAAGATCTTTCTCTTCATTTGTCGTCATATTTTATTGTTGTATTTGATTTCTCTAATGTATTGAAATGATTTCAAGGTTCCCATTTTTTGGTAAAAGGTACCTGCTGAAATTTGCGGGTGACATGTCCAGTGAGACTCATTGTCTTGTACATTTCCCAAGTTTAATCAGGTTGATATTTTTCCTTATGACTCTGAGATATCGCGTAAATGTCAGTTTATGTTCGATTCATTCCTCTTTAGTGCTCTTCTGGAATCTCTAGACCCTGTGCTTCTATTTTTTTCATTTAGATACATGGTGCGTGCTTCTTTTGAAGTTCTTAGTGTGTAAATATGTTGGAGCTTACAATTTCAGTTCAATCTTTATGCATCATAATATAAAAGTTATGTATTTGCAATCTGATAAGATCTTTGGTTTGTAATGAAGACTCTCAAGATGCCCTAGGTGTTCATTTCAGAATATGATCGGACATATTCCTTTTAAAAATTCTCAAATGAATGCCTTGTTTTTTCATGCTCTGTCTAAAAAGCCAATTGGGACTCAAATCTATTAGTGACCTCAACTTTATTTGTTTGGCAATCAACATTAACTATGCAAGCAGATTGTGTATTCGTGTGATAATCAATGAGATATTCCCCCTACCATTTTCAGTGCTATGATATCCATATAATAAATATGAATAAAGAGGCGATATTATAATTATGAAATACTACTTCAAAATGTTGTTCATATTGTACGACATCCTGATTGATACTTATTTTCTGCAGGTTGGCTAGAGAGGCTGGTATTGATTACATAGAGATACAAAATTTGACCGACTTTTATGATGACAACAGGTGACATATCTCAACATTGGTATCTTGCATCATGGTTGTGTCCAATACTCAGTAGTTGACTGAAATATACTCATCTAGTGGCAATGTTTGTCTTTATAGATTATGAGCACTTAATCTTGGTACTAATTCATATATTGGGATTTGAGAATTAGAGCTTTGAAAATTGAAATAGAACATGTGAAGTCTCTGAGACACAAACAACTTAGGAAATAAAAAGAGTTGACCTTGATATTTGAACCTAGTTTTTAGAGAAAAAAAAACCAGGAAAATGACTTTATATTTGACAGATGATTTAAAACAACGCACAGGGAATAAATTTCCCCCAACAGGAACTAAACGCCCATCTAGAAAGAACCAAAAATCAGAATAATGCTTTACTTTTATGGTTATATTTTATGCCTTGTCCTGTGGAGGCTATATTTATAACAGTACATGGGACTAATATGCTTTTTAGATGCATGAGTTCGGCTTCTCTTTTGTCAAATCTGTTTGAATCCCTTGGATTTGGCGCACTTATCAACAATCCACTAATTGAGGAAGGAATAAATCTACACCATTTTTGGACTCATTTATTATTCTTTATTTTCTAATTGAACTTCTGGACATCATCATTTGAAAATTTGCGGTACATCATAAATGTTGTGTGTTCAATGTCTAGAACAGCTTGTTGTGCCTCTAGTATGGGACCTGTTAACTTTATGCTTCTTGTAAGTATAGATGTGAGGGTGCTCATGTTATCAACCTGGCTCTTAAGAGCACAACTGGCAGGGTTGCTCATGGACGCTGGTCATAATTTCGTTGATCCAAGGGGGCGGCTTCTTCCAAGATCATATGATGTTTTAGGTTATTCACTTCTTCATGCCACACATTAATCATAAGAGTTGATGAAATTTTATTTTATTTTTTGTAATGTGGATACTTAGTGCAAGTCATTCGCAGGTCTATACACTGTATTCATCTTTCAGAAACCAGATCCAGATATTGCCCCACCTCTCATGACCCCATTGTTGGAAGATGGAAGCCACAATCATGACGAGGCAAGTGTTGTGGTTTTAGGCCATAAGCAACTTAATTTTCGGAAACTATGACTTCTCACAGTTCTTCCATGTCGTTGGTACCTAAAAGGTTTTAAACCATAGATTGAAATTATAAACTAATAAGGAGCTCGTCCTAATTTCATTGTGCTTTTACTTGGGTTTCTTTGAGTCTTCTTCTTTGAAGAAAGTACAATGTGATCAAATATTGGAGAACACATAAACCAGGAACAAGCATTAATGTAAAATGGAAATAGCTCATCCTTGGAAGTAATTACTGGTTGTTGCATATATACATATTGAAGTATAATGGTCGCCTACAAGAAACAAATTGCATATTGAATTTGTAATGTGATGCTTCACTCTATCATCGAATGCTTGGCAATCACATGACTACTAGGATTACTGATTAAGGATGTGTATAAATAACTCTATAAATGCGTAATGTTGAGGCACTAAAATTTATATTGTTTAGGAAGATATTAATTATTAGGGACTTATTTCAAACGTGCGAAGGAAACAGTTCACAAATAGAATATGTTAAGGAATGAGCTCATTAGAAGCATTGGCTTAGAAAATAATAATTCAAAGGAATGGGATTATTCCTATTATATGGACTAGCAAAGTGCATGTGATAGGTTCATATATATATTTTTTGGTAATATTTTTTTTTTTACTTTTTATTTCATTCATATAGCATATTCGATTTGTTTTCGCTATTATTTCAGTAGTTAAACAAACAAAAGAAGTATATTACATGATGAATTATGCTCATCATATCAAATGAACTTACAGGAAAAAAATATAATTTTCTACATAATAATTAAAATTCATGATAAAAAAGAGTACATAGAGAATTTTGTGTTAATTCTGTTAGACTTATAGATTCGGGGGAAGAGGATGCAGTCCCATAGAGGTGAAGCACACCATAAGAAGGTGGGCTTAGGTGCATCTTAGTGAGGTTCCTTCCCAAAACCAATTGGTGATGGGAGGAGTAGCCCACTAGGCTTATAAACTATGCTCATTTACCCTATAGAATCAATATAATCAATATAGGACAACTGACAAGTGATATTCCAACAAATTCTTCATTACAATTTAATATTTATCTAGGTTAATCTTGCTTAATAAGTCTTTTAGTTTTAAATTTTGTGAACACATCAACATATATACTTTTCTAAATTATTAATGATGTTCTTATTATTTCTAAAATAATGATTTATGGTGGTGTCATCTTTGTTAATAGTCTTTCACAATCTCTTTCTTTTGTTTTCATTTTTCTTTAAATGGTGATGGTTTATTTAGGGATGACATTTTCTTAAAAGAGAATCGAAGAAACGAACTAGATCGAATAGAAAATAGTCGGTTAGGTTTGGTTCATCTATGAAATGCCACGGATTTTGACATTACTGTTTTAGTTTTCGGTTATTTTTAGGGTATGTTGAATAATCACATATACACAATTAGACATATTTTAACTTTACATAAAATCAAAGGAATACTAACCTTATTTTAGCCAGTTCTTGTGACATAGCGAAATTATTAACGATATTTTAATGTCAATTGCAAGTTAATCAGCTTAGTTTTGTTTGGCATAGCTGTTTGTCTTATCTTGCATGGAAATTAAATTGTGTCAACTGCCACAAAGTGACGAGATCCATCCTTTTAATTACTACGAGATCCTTTCTTTTAATTTTTCTTGTTAACAATGTGTGACGACCGTAATTCAAGTGATATTTGTAGATTAGTCCTCTAAAATTACATCCGTTTTCTCCCAAATATAGTGGTATAAATATCAAAGTATTTGATGACATAATTAAACTTGTTATATTTTTGTAAGGAAAAATATTAGTTGGAAAACTTTAAGAACGTTAAAGTTCTAGCATAATACACATAACGTGAACTTGTTTTTCTGAATAATTTAGAAATCACAAACAATACTTTCTGTTGGTGAACTATCTGTTTATTTAACGAATAAAAATATTTTTCTAAATGGAAGTTATTTCATATAAATATAAAGATAATAAAAAATATACCATATATTAACCACCATGAATATTATAATTTTTTCATGTGAAAAATAATTGTGAAAATTAATTGCTCAATCAACAGAGATATTTATAACTAATGAACTTTAGCCAAAATGACAATTATCTCAGATAACAACAATAACAAAAGAACCAAAGTTTAACTATCTTATAACTACCAAGAAAAATATATATATTTTTATTTGTCTCAGGCTTGTAAAAGGGAAAAGTAATGTAAAGTTCAAACATCATTTAAAGTACTGGAACCAAAATTAAAAATGTTAGTATAATTAACATAACATTAACAGTACTCAAAATACATTAAGTATTTATGGTATATTCAGTAATTATCTTACTTTTTTTTAATACATTTTCTCTTAAAAGTGTTAATTGGTACCTATTGTAACTCCCTAACATACTAGATTTTAATGAGCGGCCTTAGATATTGTATTAAGAGTATTTAGATATTGTATTAAGAGTATTTTTGGCAATTCAATATTTTCCAAAAAACGAACGGAGGAAAGTTATAGACTAGATAATCAATGAGTATCTTAAGCTTGGATAACACGACTCAAAGATAATGAAGTTGAGTGAAATTGTAATTAATGCTTCACTCTATCTTGGAATGCTTGATAATCGCATGGCCCACAGAAGTATATGTATTAAAATGTCCGTAAATTGGAAATGCTGAGATTGTGGAATTTATCTAGACTTGGAGTCTTGGAGATATTAGTTATTGGGTGAATTATTAATTGTTTATTTTAAGAGCACTTTTCAGAATGTGGTTACATACAAGAATTAAGGTTGGCAAATTGTGTAATGAATCTTATTTTTTTTCAACATGATAGCAACATGACTAAGTTATGCTCAATCATTGGAATAGACAAGATATTGTTTGGACATAAACATGAGCATGACGACACGACGCATGGAAGGACAAACACTATGCACCCTTTGTTTCAACATGACTAAGTTATGCTCAATCATTGGAATAGACATGATATTGTTTGGACATAAACATGAAAATGAACATGAAGAAACGACACATGGAATGACAAACACTATGCAGCCTTATTTTCGTGCTTGTTTATGTTTGGTTATTGTGTCTTGTCAAGAATTGCCACCCCTAATATATATGTACATATAATATGTCGATCATTATTCTTTTCCATTTCATGAATCAATAGTGCATTTGTTGAGTAATGGAAATAAGTATATGTATATATAGCCACATACCAGATACTTTCATTTTTAATTAATTGTAAGAAGTTAGGAGAAACATGATATTGTTATTTGATGGTCAATCTAGTTTGTATCGCTAACAACATGCCAACGTAAGTATTGAAGACATATGCACTAAAGCTTTTGAGTGAAATGACAAAGGTATCACCTAAGTATAGACACGGGGAAATAAATCAATGCTGGCATATTTTACTCTAAGTTTTTCTACATATGTAAGTTATCTTAGATAATTAGACAACTATTGATAAATAAAATTTAGAGTGATATATTATTGTAGGGTTATTGATAAAAGCATTATCTTTTTTGTTTGATGAAAATGGACTCGAGAAATAATTATTATTAATCAAATATTTTAATATAGAGGTCTTGATTTCATGTTTCTTTTCCTCTTTATTCACTTAATATGTGGTTCTTGAGCTACAAGGTTATTGATTAGTCAAATATTTTAATATATAAAAGTGTTATTGTGAATTCATGTTCTTTTCTTCTTTTTTCTCTTGATATTTTGTTGTTGAGGTACAATGTTTAGATACCCTTCTCTCTCCGTAATAAGGAGAACTCATAGGAGAGAGTTCAAGTTGACCTTGAAGAAATATTGCAATCGTCATCCGTTGCAAGGTGTAGAGAGGACTTCTCTAATGGGGAAAAATCTTCTCAACTCATATTTATTCTTATTATCTGGTCTACATTGGTAGAGTTTTTTTTTAGGTATTGTATTATTTGGTCTACTTAGGCATTTATCATTACACCTTTAGGATATTCTAGAGATAGTGACTGACTAGTGAGTGGCATCAGCTGGAGGAGTCAGTCCAAACGACTTTGAGCTCATGAAAGCTTCATTGTTGTGTAATTACTCTTTTGGACATAGCATCATAATATTAAAGACAAGGAACAAGAAAAATTAATTTTATTTTAAGGAGATAGGATACTTCAAAGTGCAAAGGTGAAAATTTTGTTTTGTTATTAGAGAGGGGAAAATGAACCAACAGAAACAAAAGGTGAGAAAAGCATGAGACCATTCTCAAGAACAAGTGCAGCTGCATTGTAATTGAAGATGGGGAACAGAGATTGTAAACGATGAAAGTTGTGAGCATAGAATTACAATAATCAAATCACAAATAATTACATGATAAAGCTTATTGTTGGATGCATAGTCTACAGGTTAGCTTAGAGATGCATTAATTCAGACAAAAATTTATGAGGGAAAACTCTGACCAGAAACTGCTTGGTTTGTGTTCAAGGTCAAAATTTTCCTCCAAGGTCCTGAAACTGCTTTAAGCACAAGGACTTCTGGTTCCTTTGAAGTTTATCTGGTGGTGAAAACTAGAGTAACTAATTGAATGGTAATAAGGTGTAGCGCAAAAAAGTTACTGTTTGAAGATTAAGCAACCTAAACCTGTTTCCATTTTTAATTCATCCCTTCACCATGTATAAGTGTTCATGTTTCACCAGCATATAATCATCTCATTCCATGCAGCCACATGTTTTAGCATATAATCAATTATTTCCTGGTACTCGAAGTTGCTTCAATCATGTTTATGCTCCTTCGGATATAATCATGTAGATATCACATTTGGTTTGCATAATCATTGGTAGTGATTTATCAAGCATGGGATTTTATCCGAGTGCCAATCAAGCTGACTATTTAACGAAGAGTATCCATCAGATTAATTTGACTTTTCTATGTTACTCATTTATGCTTTTTTTTTTTTGAGAAAATTTATTTTATTTTTTTCAAATTGAAATAGCGTACTAGATAACATAAAATTGTCCACACTGATATTTTGTCTGATAACCGAGCCAGGCAGCTTTGATGCCACCAAGAGAGCGGCAAGCCGCTTTATGGAGAGAGGATGACAAGAATACACAGCCTGAGTCGAGTTCAGGACTGGCTAAAATAACTGAACAGAAAGGCATATTAGGCCCTGGTCCAGTTGAGCTGCGGTTCTCAGAAGCTCTTTGAGTATTTCATTAAAGGGACCAACGAGTTATTTACGCATCAATATTTGTAAGTGATCAACTGTGCTTTCGAACTTGTGAAATTTACGGCAGGTCACATTCACTTATAATTTGTATGTAATTGTTGTATCATGCTCAAATATTGGTTGGGTTGGAGTACATGTAATATGGCTGGTGTCTGGATTCCCTATTAGGTGCTTTTAGTTTCTGTCAGGAAAAAATACACTTTGCCTACCTAACTATCTGGAAATTTACACTTTGCCTACAAAGTGTACCAAAAAGCAAAGTTAGGTAGGCAAAATATTAAAAAAAAAGTTTTGTAGGCAAAGTGTAAATTTCTGAATAGTTAGGTAGGCAAAGTGTAATTTTTTCCAGAAAATAATAAACGCTTCATTTGCGGCTGGAGTTCGTTTTGCAATTGGTGATTTTCATGAATATATTTATTGGTATGAACTGTCAAAAACAGTAAAGTTTTGGATGTAATTGATTGTTGTTATGTGTCTGCAGATGAGATGTAAAGGTTCTGGAGGTGCAATTTTTGTTATCATTTTCTACGTGGGAATTTTTGTTCAAGGTACTTCCGCCCCTTTCTCTCTCTCTATCTGGAATGTACTAGAAAAAATGTAATATTATTATGAGAGTAAATAGACAGACAACTAAATTATCTTTTCCCCTCATTAAAAGACTATTTGTTGCGTGGAAAAAGCTAACATATCAAAAGTTTGTAGTATACTTTGGTTGTGTACGTGGGTCATCGCAAAACGCGACTTGATTGCTAAATTTCGGACAGCTGCGAAGTAAGTGGGTTAATGACACCAAAATATTTAATATTTTCGTTTAGTCTTTCTATATTTTTTTATAGTTTTATTATTTCTATACAAAATATATTAGAATTATGAATAAATGTTAAATTAATTAATATTTATTTATATTCCGTTATATATTTATTATATAGGTAGAAAAAGCGTTAAGTTTAATCTATATGTATAAAATAAAAATTTTGACATGCCTTTGAAATACTTGTTTATGCTGCTATATCTACATCATCTTGAATCGAGATAATTAGTATAAGTGGAAATATCAAACAACTCCACATCCAATTCTATTTGGACTAGGAATCTTGAAAGAAATTTTATTATATAGTATGAAGTTACACTTTGACGCGCCTTTCAGAAAATACCTGCTATATATTGTGGTGTAAAAGAAATTGCCCCTAATTTCTATAACTCAAAATTTAACTCAACTCAACTCTCTTCAATATTATCATATAATTACATAATACCAATCAATCATCTTCACATATCACATCAACTTTAATCCACTCACATGATTTTAACTATTCATCGTTTATAATCACTTCTCTCCTACTTTTACATCAAATTAATTTTAATTATTATATTTTAAATATTATTTTAATACAAACTCAAAATCATACTTAAATTCAACTCAATGAACTTTTTCAAAATTAACTTTCGTTTTCCAACAACTACAACCAAACAAAATGACTTATATTCAATCAATCCCTTAGTAATTTGGTCATTATATATCCATATGTGATACAATAGTACAATGAAACTTCAAACCCTTGTACCGGTCACGCGAGATGACAAATTTTCAGGAACATCGACATTATGTTGTCGTCCAATGTTCAATAAAAAGAGGTGGCGAGCCATGAATTAAAAGTTCATCAGAAGAAGCAATTTAAAAATATCTAATCTTCGAGCTCAATGATCTTGACGACTGAAGCATCACCTACTTTCTGGCAAACGACAACACGGTCATGGGATTTTATAACGCCAGAGGCCTTTCCGTATTCCAAAGCAACCTTTAAAACAGACTCATTCGTTGCAGTTGTGTGTTCTGCCTGCAAAATTGATCACGGCTTATTATTAGAGCTCTTCATGAAATGCAATGTGGATATGAAATCCCTTGGTTTTAAAGCACACACTTTTACAGTCAAATCAAGGAGAAGGAAATGTATAAATATTCTTACAGGATGTCGAGGATCAGCAAGCATGGGGAAAAGGCCTCGCACTATCAGAGATTGCCTTGCCTGCCGATAAATATTATTTCACCTATGAGTAAGTACGCGTGCAGAAATAAAAACCATGCTCTCTAACTTAAGTTAAACTAAAAAACAAGGAACATTAGTTTTGAACAACTTTATGGCAAGAAAAATGGAGGCGAAAGCATAGATGACCATATCCACATCTATAATTGTTGACATAACACTTTGCAATTTTTTTTTTAAATATTTTTTACACAAAAGGTGAAATATCATATGTGGCACAAGACATCCTCCCAATGACCAAAGAATTTGAGCTGGTCTAAGTGTGTAATTAAAGAAATTAAAAGAAAACATCTGGAATGAGAAAAAAACTCAAGTGTCAACTTAAATTGAACACGATAAATTCATTTCTAACAATGCATAATTTTTCAGCATCTGCATTATGCATTCATTTATAGGTTGAGCACTAGATAACTAGGAAGGAAAAAAATAAGAAAAAAAAAGAATGAATGAAATAAACAAATGGAACCATGTAAAATCAAACGGAGCTGAAGTGTACGTACGTAAATCCCATCCCCACAATACCTCGAAAGCACCAGTAAAGGTCCAGCGTAACTGATTCGTCTTCAGACGTGGGATGACAACAGATAAAACAGGCATTGTGGGTCGGTACTTGGCAATTAACCTGGATTCAATGCTTCACCACGTTAATCTTCAATAGATAGATATAAAATACTTTTTACAAAATATGAAGTAAATAACCTTGCAGCTCGTCCAGATGAAGTGAAACAAATAATGACCGATGCCTTTACCTTGATGGCAGCCCTTACCTACAAAGTATATGGCTTTTACAATTTGAATCACCAGTTTCCAAAACTTGCTTATTAATATTGTAGCTGAAATATATTTTAAAAATTTAAGGGAAATAAAAGCCTGCGCGAGTTTATTTCGTACTGCAGAGGAAGCTATTGATTCGAGGTGCGTCATGGGTTCACCGACATACTTGACTGTCTTTTTGAAATAGAGATCCTGATTGTAAACTTTTTCTGCCTGCATATAGAAAATAAGATTAAGTTAATTGAGACAAAAAATCATCATCACGAATATGCATCAATTCCATTAAACATGTATAGATTGTAAAAATTTTGCCCTCAAACGTTTACTCTGTGCCAAAGACGAAATTAATAGAAAATCGTTCATAATTTGTAAATCGGGAATAAGTGATTAGTCCAAAGAACAGTGTTGTACTTACACCTGCAAGACAATCTCCCAATAATACAAATCAATTGATTGCCTAATGATTTTCTCTTTTTTCTTTTAATGATCTCTATGAACGTGTAGAGTGTTTTAGTCAGATTTAATGGTCGATAGACAAAAAAAAAAAATTATTAGATTTCTGACAGTGATTGATAAACAAGGAAAAAATGTAAAAATAAAATCTCACCTCTGCACAAATCTTACCAACAGTTGATATTGTCCCAATAGGGTACAATCCCCGCAGTGTTTCGGCACCCAAAAGAATAGCGTCACTTCCTGAAAACGAGAGCAAAAATCAAGCCTCGACAGATCTTTCAAGTGCAAACACATTTAGTTAAGATGCAAATAGGAAATTAACTGCAAAAATATATTAAGCAGAAATGGAAAAGGTACCATCAAGTACAGCATTGGCAACATCAGTAGCCTCAGCACGAGTTGGTCTTAGGTTGTCTGTCATGCTGTCAACAACACGTGTGACAACTGCTGGCTTCCCAGCAATATTGCATTTGTAAAGAGCTTCCTTTTGGTATAAAAATACCTGAAAAATTCCGTAAAACATATAGTTCGACAATTGTGAAGAGAGAATCACTGCTGCTAGAAAGAAAAAGAAAAAGAAGGAAATAAAATGATTTATATGTCACACAATTGGAATTTGTGATTGTAAGTTTGTAATTAAATTGAACATAAACCATTAAGGTCCTAGAAAGTAGAAATATTCAAGAGGGTGTTTGTTAAACAGAATACAACAGGGTATAGCTAGTGTTGAATATTTAATAACTCTTCTTATAATTAGATTTGAACCTCAAAAAGTATTCGTTTGTAATTATCCTTCACGATGGTGCATTTTGTGAAAGTAGGTACTAATATCAAAGGATATTAATGCAATAAATCATGCATTTAAAGCTTATGATGAACCTTCTCAGGAGGTAGATCTATCCCGAGATTCCCACGAGCGAGGATTATGCCATCTGCTTCTTGGAGAATCTCATCAAAATGAATCAAACCCTGCAAAAGAAAATTTGAGAAATGAGTATTGATGAGCCGGGCATTTTACTATAAGATCAGTGCAACTTTAAGTTTATTATAACTCAGTTCCAAAAATAAGACAAGGCTTCTTACCTCAACATTCTCAATCTTTGCAAATATTTGTGTCTGGCTGAGGTCACCCAATTTAGAAAGAAACTCACGTGCCTGAATAATCATCCACCATATGAAGAAAAGTGGTGTCATTATTCGCAAATTTCCCATTTTCTTACAAATTGCAAAACAAATTACCTGTAATAAGGAGAAAGGAAGGACTAGAGTTCACTTACATGCTTAACATCTTCTGCCCGCCGAGCATAAGAAAGAGAAAGGAAGTCTATCTTGTTTCGAAGTCCCCAAGTGCTTATAACCTGATAATGGCATGAAATAGTGAATAAACTATGGTAAACTCTATAAAAGCAGAATTGCACAAAGGAGAGCGAGACAGATTAAAAGAAATCGATGTTGAGAATATTATTAAGCTCATGTTATGGAACAAGGATAAAGTGAAACACTTCTTGAAAGAATTGGATGGAGTCCACATTGGTCATGGTGTCATTATTCAGACAAGACCCAAAAAAAAGAAAAAAGAAAACATATATATACCTCCTTATCGTTATCAGTAAGAGTCGGAAGGTCAATATGGATTTGAGAGACATGCAATGTGTACAGTGGCCCGTCCAATGTGGCAGAATTCTTGATCAGACAAACAACATCGTCTTCTTTCACCTCGGACACCTGTATGGTCAGAAAAATATAATAAATGATACTGGACTTCTTGATCAACTTACATCACAATTTTATGTCAAATCTGCACATCAGATGTATATTGATCAGACAACATTTAAGTAGCACTTATGTAAAGATTTCTAAAATATAATAATAGAATTAAAAATAAAACCAAATATTTCTAGTTTTTCCATACCTCCAGCCAAACCGAAGTTGTTTCACTTCCTGTGAACAAGTATTGTCCAATGAAAATGTCATCTCCCTTTTTTACAGCCTGCAATAGTCAAGAAACATATATTTAAAGTAGTTGAAAGTTGAAACTAATATTTGCAATATGAATTGAATTTAAAAGTCATTTTCCATTATACACACATATATATGTATATTTAATGCATTATCATGCACACACCAGGTCCATAATGCGTGAATAAAAAAAACAAGGACCGATTGCCACAAAGTCTGCCTTTTACCTTGGATAACCCATTGAAGTTAATGGGAAGTAGAGTTGAATTAGCTTCTTTATCTTGATCAGGTGTAAGGACAATGAAAGAATTTTCCTCAAGGGAAATCAGTTGCTCGGACTTGTTGACTATAAGCAGTTCTGGGCCCACTGTATCAAGCATAACCTAGTAAAAATTAGAACTTTCTGTTAATATTGTTATTTTTAATTGATTGAATCCATACAAATTTAGGTTTATCTAATAAATATTTTGCAATTCAAAAGTTACTGAAATTAGAATTGTGCTTACAGCACAGAGTTTTTTGGTTGTCTTGATGGCCACTTTCAAATTCTCTAATGTTTCTTGGTGAAATTCAGCATCTCCCCACGAGAAATCAAACCTTGCAACTATTAAAAGACTTTTAAATAAGATCAAGTGTCATAGTTCAAGTTCAAATTTTAATATTAGTCTTTTGAGTGCAGATTCAAAGCAGCCAAAAACATCTGAAATAAAATGTAATAAATAGCTATTAAAAGATCCACTTCTAAAGTTCCCAAATAAAAAGTGAAATTATTTTTTCCAAGAAAGAATCAACTAAAGAATGCCTTTGATCAACTTTTCCACAACATGAAAAACCAAATTACTTGCATTCTTGGTATTTTATAATTCTATTTGAGCATTAAAATAAAATCACTGGATCACTTATCGAAAAGCTAATGACGGAGCTCGAAGACATATTTCCTAACACAACAATGAAGGCTAAAGATTCTCGTACAAGATATCATATTAGACTGACACAATATTAAGTACATTTTTAGCACAGTCACTCACTCAGAGTAAAATGCCAATTAACATCAGGGCTAGAGATTATTAAGTCCCCCAAATCATTCTATAAAAAGAAGTGAGCTGTTTAAGAAATTACCAGACATTCCAGCTTTGAGACAGCCAGAAATAACTTCCACAGACCGCGAATTTGGGCCTAATGTCCCAACTATCTTTGTCATGGCTGGAAAAAAACTCTGCAGAAAAAATTTTAAACTAGGAAGTGAGATCACAAAATGCTTAATTCTGCATCTCAACTCAATAAAAAAGGCATGAACAATGACAACTGACATTATTACAGTACATAGGTAAATAGATTCAAGCAGAAATCAAGAAAAACTTAAACATACAACGATCATTTCAAAATCCCCCTATTTTTTTCGTCGACACACATTTACTTGACATAGTACAAGGCAAAAGGTAGTTACAGGCTTAGATGGCTCGAGGACGGAGGACATCCTAAGGGGCTCCTCGAGAAGAAGGTAATTGGACACCATGTTTTCTCACGCACAAACGCAAAGTGGAGAATGAAGTTAGATTTGTAGTGCGGATAATGAAAATTGAGAAATAGTTGGGAAAGAGAAGATCAGAGAGTTGGATTGGTGGTGTGGTGCCTTCCAATTTACTGCACTGCCGCTGCGTCTGTGTGTTTTGTCCACCATGGTCACACCAAATCAATGCGCTGTCGCTATCTGCCACGTGTCACTTCTACATTACACTTTCTCCCTCTAAATTTTCTGGACCTTTTATGGGTTTGGTATGGTGGATGGTCTCCAAATTTCTGGACCTTTTATGGGTTTGGTATGGTGGCACCCTCGTGACCTCGTCTAACTTCCAAGATGTGGTCAAAAAAATGTTTTTCCCAATGTTCTGAAAACCGGACCGGTCATCGAACCGGTTAAGCTACTGGTTCAATGATTTACTGGTCGGACCAGTGGTCGAACCGGTCAAACCGGTTTAATTAATATATAATTTTCTATTTATTTTATATGTATAATATATAATTATATATTTTTATCATTAATTTTTTAATGTATAATGACATTTCTCTAAATAAGTGTTCAATAATCAATATCATATTTGTAGTTTACCATAGGTTTGTAATTTGTATTTTAATTTTTTAATTTGAATATGAATTTTATTTTTATTTTTAGTTTTCATTATGTAAAGAATAAAAATCAAAAATCAATTTTGAGCTTTGATTTTGATTAAAATTAAAAAAAAAAATCATGAGTTTCATTGGGTTGTGCATTTACAATAAGAAAATTGAGTAAACAAACAATGACTCAATGACAACAATAAGTAATTAAAAATAATGCTAGTGGCAAGAATCGAGCACGACACCTTGTACAATCCAAGCACCTACCTTGCCACTAAACCACACACACAATCTTGTTATGCATTAGATAGAGACTTTTATTATTTGTCAAAAAACGTCTAAAATTGAAAACCGCTGAACCGGTTGAACCGCTACCGGTTTACCGGTTTTTGACCGATTCGAGCAGTTTTTGACCTGTTTTTTGTCCAGCGGTTTAATATGCCAAACCGGACCGGTGTTCCGACCGGTTCCCGGTCCAACCGGTTTAATCGGCCGGTCCGATCCAGTTTTCAGAACAATGGTTTTTCCACGTTTTATTTAAATAAGAGAGGTGTATTTGTCTTCTCCAAGAGTGTCACCTATACCATGTACAAAACCACCTTTTAGAATAAAGATAAAATAAAGACTTAATTGCAAATACCTTTTCGAAATTTGTAATTATATGCAACACTTTTAACTTGTCAAATATATACACCACTTTTACAATTTTTTGCAATTGTATGCATCGGGCCCAATTTCCGGCTTTTATTGCTAACGTGACGATGCTGATGTGAGGATTTCTGCTTACATGGCGCTGATATGGATGCTGATGTGGCGATTTACATGGTCGCGCTGTTGGGGTTCGAACTTTTGACCTCCAAGTTGTATATTAACATTGTAACCACTACACCAATCCAAGTTGTATGTCTAATTCAATAGCATTTAATATATATAGACATAACGTAATTATAAGCAAATTAAATTTAAGATATAATGTAAATTATATTTAATAATATTTATAAGATATAAATTTATAATAATTAAAATATAATAAAATAAATTGTATGTATTAAATGAAAAAAATAAATTAAATAAAGTAAGATAAAATTTATTACAGTAGAGTGCATTAAAATTAAATTGCATTTAAATATATTTATATATTTCTTATTTTATTAAAATAAAACTAGTTTTATAAATTTGAAAATAAAAAATAATAATGATAAAATTAAATTAAAAATAAGCTAGATTAAAGTACACAAGATAAAATAAAATAAAAATAATATCATATTATTAAATAAAGTATAAAAAAATGGTAAATTAAAGTAAAATAAATAATAAAATAAATCAAATAACTTATTATGAAATAATATATTAAAATAAATAAAAATCTTAAATTAAAATAATAAAATAAAAAATATTATTTCATTATATTTTTAATATAATATTAATAAATAATTTGTTAAAATAATATCAAAAAATTTAATAAATTCTTTATTAAATAATATCATATAATTTAATAAATGAATATAATAAATAAAAATATATAATTTGAGATTATTATAATAAATAATTTATTAAATTATTTGAGATTATTATAATAAAATATTTTATTAAATTATTTATTAAAAAATAATATAATGAAATAATTTTTTTATTTTATTATATTCATTTAAGATTTTTATTAATTTTAATTTATTAGTTCATAATATGTTATTTGATTTATTATTTTATTTATTTTATTTTACTTTTCTATTTTTTATACTTTATTATCTTACATTATCTTATTTCTTATTTTATTTTGATAAATAAAAATTTAGTTTAATTTTAATGTACTCTAGTATGATAAATTTTATCTTACTTTATTTTTTTTTCAATTAATATGTATAATTTATTTATTATATTTTAATTTTTATAAGTTTATATCTTATTAATATAATTAAATAAAATTTACATTATCTTTTAATTTTAAGTTGATTGTTTATACGATATGTCTATATATATTAAACGATATTAAATTAGACATACAAGTTGTATTGGTGTAGTGGTAATGATGCCAATTTAAAACCACAAGAGCACAGGTTTGAATCCTAGCCTTGTTTATTTTTTATCCCCATGTCAGTGCCATATCAGCAGCCATGAAATTGTCATGCCAGCAGAAAATCTCCATGTCATCAGTCACGTCAGCAATAAAAGCACGAAATTGGGCCCGATGCATACAATTGCAAAATTGTAAAAGTGGTGTATATATTTGCCAAGTTTAAAAGTGATGCATATAATTGCAATTTTCGAAAAGGTCATGGTTTTATTTGCAACTAGTATTCGGCCTGTGCATTTGCACAGATATATAAATAAAATATTGCGAGTTATTTGTATGCATATAATGATTAATGATTTTTGCTAAATTTACAATTAAATGAGCTGAAATCTTTATTTTTTAAAAATACGTTTTTCATATTGGATGTAATGTATATTTTGGTATGTATCTTTTGTTGTGAATTATTTGTTATTTATTTAGGAATTTCAAATACGTTTTTTATTTCCAAAAGAAGTTAATTTAAATGTAACCACAACAATAACATCTACTCAAGTTAAATAGTCAACACATTATATGGTCAACCGTAAGTAAATAAAAAATTTAAAATAATTTTTGTAATTTTGAAGTGATTAGTGTTTTGATATCTAATAATTAAATGAGAGGTTAAATAAATAAGAAATAACAATTTTTCGATGAAAAAAACTATATTGCCACATAGGTATAATTTAATAAGTTTTATTAAATACTAATGAGCCAGCAATTATACATATATATATATATATATGTAGGGTAATGAGATTTGCAAAAAATATTGGATATTTAATATTTAGTTTTTATTACAGTTATGAAATGAGAAAGAATATGGCATAGTTGATTTGACCGACTATAAATAATATTTATTTTTTATGAGTGATGAGATTTGCAAAAAATATGAGATATTTAATATTTAATTATTATTAAAGTTATGATATAAGAAAAAAATATGGGATGTTGATGCTTGGAATTTATATAAAGAATTTTTTAAAATTTTGGATTCCCGCATCTTTTTTTCAGATTTTCGCCTCCTATTCAGATAATTTCGAAACAGTAATTATCTCAACTTTTGGAATTGTAATTTGATAATTATAATTAATTGTTTTAGTTGATCTTTAATTTTGTTATTTTTGCAGGAATTGACCGGAGATGGAGCATCTGATTTTTTATTTTATTTTAAATTTATTTTTTTGGTTAGTTGTATTTGTTAATAATTAATTTTTTATTTATTTTCATTAATTTCGTTTAGTTTACTATGCATAGAAAAAATAATTTCGATTAAAAAAATAATTAATGAGAACTGTTGAGAGTAATTAATATGTTTAAAAAAATATGGAAACATTTTCATTTTCATTAACTCGTTATAATTGCAGAATTAATTGGTTGTCATTTTTAAAACACTCAACTTTTCAAGAAAATTGAGTTGTTTTTAATAAAGAAAATAAAAAATAAAAACAAATGAAAAGTAACGGAAATTGGCGGGAAAATGCCACCTAGGTATAATTTATGAGGTTTAATTAAATGCAGAAGAGCTAGTAATTATATATATATAGATTAAACCTAAAATAAATTACTTATAACTAAGAGCACGTTTGTTAGTCCGGGTTAGACAGGATTTATACTCTAATCGATCCCTAAACATGCATTTGCTCAACACGATATTGGTCCGCCAGATTGTACACACCCCGGAATGTGTTAAAATCTTGAGTTTCGTGGACTGATGTATCTTGCTTGGGTAAGATAATTATTATTTGCATAGTAGTCACTTTCAGGAGAAGCATGAATGAGTTTGCTATTTAACTGTTAAGTTTCAGTCGTGTTTGATATGCGTGTGATTTTATGTGATTTTTAGATTTTGAGTGCTTCGTGTGTGCAAATGACTGAAAGTTTTTAGGAGTCCTTAAGTCTAGTTAATAGCCTCTAATTTTAGAAATCTTGTGATAAGTGTTATGGCCAGAAAATGTCACCGGAATCTGATAAGTATGGTTGGGAAAGTCAGTCAGCGGACACTAGGCAACGGCGCCAGGCGCGCCAGAGCCATGGACCCAGCCGCAATAGCCGGCCGACCCGAGGCCCAGTGAGCCGAGCCAGGTCCGACCGAGCTCGAACCGGTCAGTTCATGCAGTCCAGTATAAGTTGGTTTCCGAGCCTCAAATAGTTTATATCCGGGAACCCTAAATCAGTCCAGTCAGTCAGTATTAGTTTTTATCTGTCTTATTTGCCTTATGTGAATTATTTGATTTATCTGATTATCTGAATCTATCTGTTTTGTCTGCTCTATCTGCTTATCTGTGATCATCTATAATAATAAGATAAAAATAGTTAACTGTAGATTAACGAGGAGTCGAGCCCTCACACAGACGCACGTGCATTTCATATCATCCAGTTACCAAGTTTAAAAGGTTGGGATTTTCCATGCTATGTTCTAATTCTTAATAATAATCGCAAGGTATTTACGATTGATTTGTGTATATGAGTTTGCCTGAGATCGGGCATCGCTCGTGAGTTGGTACCAGGACAGGCGTGTGCACACGAGATAGGTCTGTCGTGTCGTGCGGGTCAGCATCCCCGGCCGATAGACTAGCAGATAAGCAATGTTATGAGACAGTGTGTCGTGTCGTGCGGGCCAACGTCCCCAGCCGGTAGACTAACAAATGAGACCATGTTTATTCATTTATATATTGCTATCAACTATATCTGTTATTATTACGAATAATTGCATAGTATGAATTATTGATGAACACGTTGATTTTGCTCAGCCCCCACAATTATCTTTTTCAGGTTAGCAGCTGGTGCGGGACTCGAGGGGCGAAAGGGTGGTCATATGTTATCATGCATTTTATTATTGCTTCCGCTATTGAACAGTTATTTTTCCGATCATGTTATTATCAGTTATTTTGAACATTGTTTGGATTACCAAATTCAGTATTTCAATTCAGTTATTAGACTAGTATCGATCGATCTGCTAGGTCTTAATGAATTGAACATGTTTTATGTCGGGATCAGATATTCTGAAATGATTAAAAGCAGACATGATAGTAAACCAGATACATGTTTAGTAAGTATCCTCGAAGCATGTTTTGAAAAGTTAAACGATTCTCCAAAAAGTTCGATCATTTTTCAAAAACTCTAATGATTTCAAAGTATAAGTAGAGGGTGCTTACAGTTGGTATCAGAGCCAGTATGAAATGTCTTACTTATTCCTCTTATTTTAGAATTCTGATCATACACTCTTCCTTGTTGCAAAAAATATATCTTACCTCGTTCTACCTAACACCTTCATAATTGCAATGGCACACCATTTTTTATATTAGATTAAGGCCAACAAGCACGAGGCTGAGGCCCTGTTCAAGAAGATCTCCAAGGCCTACGTTGTCCTCAGCGACACCCAGAAGCGTTAGATCTATGATCTGTACGGCGAGAGGGCTTCAAATTCTGCAAGGACCTAGGGCATGTTTGCTTATGGAAATTTTTCAAAAGAATTTCAACATTTTAATTCAACTATTTTTTTTAACTCAACTTTAACTCAACTCTACTATCGTCAATATTATTAATATGATTAAATAATATCAATCAATCATTCATACACACCACATCAACCTTAATTCATCTTCGCCTTGAGCTATTTTTACAATAGGAGTGACCAGTTGGTTCAAAGGGCCATATTCAAGCAAGATCCAGGCAGAGGGGGCCGGCGAATGGAGGGAAAGATGGACCTGTTCTGTTGATCCTAGTTCCTTGTTTCGCAATAACGACTAAGAATCCCTTGTCACCACTATTCATCCACTCATGTTATTTTAATTACAATCATCTATTTCCTACTTTTACATCAAATCAATTTAATTATTTTATTTTAAATATTATTTTAATATACCCACTAACAATTAACCATACCACAATTTTCAAAATTAACCAAACCAACCCAAACCAAAAAAATTCCAACAAAACAAAAAATTTCCATAAACAAGCATGCTCTATGGTTTTCACTACAATAGCCAGCAAACCATAATTTTTTTATTTAACCTCGAGGGACTCGGACGAGTGATTTAGAAAAAACCAGCCCAAAAGGTCAAATAGCAGAATGTCGAAAAATGGTTATATCTACGCAGAGATTTTAGGGGAAAACATTGGTGGGGGTATTGGCGGCAACAATAATGGTGGTGGTGATAGGAGGGACGACGATGAATGACTGTGGTAGGGAGCATAGTTCGAGTGGAGGGGCTGGGTCGAGGAAGGTCTCACTGGTGGAGAATGTGTTTATGTGTAGCTTGGACTTGGTTCTACGAGGAAAATGAAGATCTCAAGGAATGTACTTGATTCTCAGAGCTAATTGATTTTTAAAGATTGTATCTCGGTTCAGGGATAAATTTTTAAATTTAAATTTTATCCAAATTGTTGTCTTGACAAACAAATATGCGAACAAAAAATTACATAAATCATATCTTAGGAGTAGTCATTGACAACAAACATAGATCCATTTCAATCGTGAATTTCACATGTGAGAATCTAAAATTTGGGAGCCCATATTTAGCACTTCCTTTGGTCCCTATTATAGCATATCAATATAATAAGTCCCACGATCCTTAGAAAGATTTCAATCGTGAATTTCACACGTGAGAATCAGAAATCTCTTCTTTGAAATTTTGGCAAAAACTGAGAGGTACAAAGGAGAGAAACAGAGTGAGGCTTTGGGAGATCCAACGTTTCGCCCACCAAGACAACTAGGAGTGGTGATCGGTCATACAACAGAAGATCCCAAGGTAGCCATATTCGTCTGATTATGAAATTGATGAAACGCAGCCCGACGACGCACGACGGACGCACCCCGACGATGGCGAGCCACGACGGATGCAGCCCGACGACGGCAAGCCACCATGCACGAATATTATAGCCGATGCACAACTAGTACAACACGCAGCCAGACGCGACGATCATCGTACACGGCAAGGCGTGGCCAGCAACGAGGCGAGAGGACGAAAAGTTAGACGAAATATCAGAACTGCATTTGGCACCATAGACCGTGTAAGTCTATAAAGAATCGACAAATTTTAAACGATAAGATTCAAATACGATTTTCAATTCCTCCACGCCTAGGATTCTTTTTTTAGCCTCTCAATCAATTTAATGCGCGATCAACGACGTCTTCACCAAACCCAACAGTTTCAACACACGGGAAACCCCAAGCTGCAGCGGACATCTTGCATATTCCAGGCACTATCATCTTAAGGGACCATTGAGAGTTTATGCATTTGTTAGGAGTCATGCTACATTCGTGCCTTGGACGGGGTGGTATGGGATCCTTGCAACACCCCAAAACACTCCTTTATCCTTTGGCTCGCAATACTCAACATGCTGCATACCAAGGACCCCCTTTAGTTCCTAGAAACAGATCCAACTGGAAACACATCCAAGACTATAGAGCACATTTATATCACTTGCCCTTCCATGGCGCAAGTTTTGTCACTCATTCTGCAATGGATGGGCCTTGGCCGACAAACCAACTACATTAAAGAGCACCCTAAACTGGATCAAGAAGGAGGCAGAAGGAGCGAGATGGCAAGCCAAACAAAGAAAATCGCGTTCGCAGCAACGATCTATTTTGTTGGGAATGCGCATAATAGAAAGATCTTTGATAATGAATCACAGTGCGTGGAACACATCAAACAACAGAGTCAAACTCATGTTTACCAAACCATTTTGCCCAAACTTGCTAGCCGACTTCAAGAGGAAGGCCCTTGGTACATGCAAGCCACTTCCTTTGGTATTTGGGTCTTGAGTGAGGAGCCGAGCCAACAGTTCTTTGAAATGCAAGAAAGGAGCCGGGATTGTGACTACTTGCTTAGCTTGTGTACTGCCATTGACGGTCGTTATAACTTCACTTTCATCTATGAAATTACATTTACCCAAAAAAAAATGGCGGCTTGCAATTTGCACTTTTCGAAGTGATGCCATTGGCATATCTCAAGAGTTGTAGTTATGACTACACCATGTCCAGAGATCATATTATATTCATACTAAAAGGAATGAACTAAATAGGGTCTTCAATCCCATCACCTTATTCCAAAATAATTACCAAAGCTTGGTACCAAATTTATCATTTAAACAACTAAATCACACAGGTTATAATCACGCACCACATCTCCTATCTCAAGTATCTCAACACCAAATCCCTTAGACTGACCAGCCCAGAAATAGAATTATAACCAACACATAAAACTATACAATCATCAAAAAGCCCACAACAGGGGACTTCGCCCACACATCACATAACCACAATTTTCAACTCACACACTCATCAAAAGTTGGATGAACACTAGCAGCAGCCCCCGCGTCAACCTCCCTCCCGAACCTCCACATGTAATTCAACCCCACGAGAAGCTCCGTAATCGCCGCCTCCGTCTTTTCCTGGCTCGCAAAATACAGCGTCTGCACGAGCAGCACGTTCGTCGTCCTCCCCCCTTGGTGCTCGAAACTCCTCTCCGACTGCCACCTCATCATGTTGTGCGCCATCGGCGCAAGCCACTCGAGCATCCGCCCAATCGCCTCACTCCATTCCCCCGCAAGCCCAGTGTCGTAGGCCCAAGCCCCAATCCTCCGCGCGTGCGGCTTCAGCTTCGCCCTCAGAGCCGACCTTATGCTCGCCGGCAACATTCTGTAGAGCTCGTCCCGCGCATCGTTTCCGATCAGGTGAGGAGTCGCCGCCAGCTTCTCGATAAAGATTATGACATTCGCGTAGTGCAGAGCTAATGCAGCTGCACCGAGACATGTCTCGGGAGGTAATAGTTTGTTTTTCTTTGGAACCTCCATGACTCGTGAATGTTCATTATTTTGCATCTGGCTAGGGCTCCCGATGGTTAGAGGACTGGCCCTTTGACGGGGGACTCTCGATTTTTCACGAAATGGCCACAAACCAGATATGGTTTTGCTCTGTAGCGGACCAGAGAGGAAATCCATTGGGCCATCGTGGTTTTGCGTAATCGGGCCCGAATTGAATTGGGCTGCATTGTTTGTTTTTAGGAGAGGTCCGGAGCGCGAGATATCTTTGCCCGATGGGAATTTGGGCCTCGGGAAGTAATTTTCGGATGGGAAGACGGATGACTGCATGAAAACGGTCGAGTGGGTACGTCGGGAGTTGAAGATATTCGTCAATTTATTATTGTTAGATTCTCTGACTCCTAAATCGGCCACTTGATTGATTCCGAAAACGTGCCCGATCCTTCCGTACACGGTGAACACGGTTCGAGCGAGAAGGAGGATGGTGTAATCGTACGTTTGGCTCCAAAGGGAATTCTCTTTTAGATTCTTCACTTCGTGCTTTTTCCACGCGACCTTCTTCTCGTACTCGACCAAAGTTATGCTATCCGAATTATCGCTGCCTTCCATTCTCCTCAACGTCTGCTCGAGATCCGCGAGAGTTTCCATCTCTTGATACAAATTCGTGTTAGCGGCGACGAAACGCTCCATTTTCTTGATTTTGCGCTCCATTTTCTTCCACGAGAACTGCCACCTGTACGTGTCGGCGCCGTTTTTTATTAGATCGCTGTAGGCTTGCTCGAAGCTTCTCAAGAGAGGGTCGTTGCACTTTTTCGACAGCCTGCCGACAGCTCGTGCCACGTGGGATAAATTCTCCATCATCTCCGTGCATATTAACCTGCCGATGTAGTCGTCGTTTTCCGAGATGAGTTTTTTTATGCCGGCCGAATTTGTGATTTCGTCTCTTAATCTCGCGACTTGCTTGTCGGTGAGAGATTGCCATAGGTGGAGGAGTTTGGTAATTAGGCTAGCGGCTTCGAATGCCAAAACCGCAATCTGTGATTTGTGAGCTTGGGAGTCGGATTTCTTGGAAGTTATCCATAAATTTCGGAACCATGATTTAGTCACCATATCGAAATGTATGCAAATTGTTCAAATAATGATCTCCAAATCACTTTTATTAACTCTGCCGTTTCTTCATTCTCTGTAGAAAAAGGAAAGAGGAGGGAAAAGGGAAGGCTTAGAATCAAAGAAATATATCATCCAGATATGAGCACAAGTGTAAAATGAATAAGATAGTCTGATAGAATCAATTGTAATTAATTATTTCATATGGAGCACAACTCTTAACTAATTTCTTAATTCTCTTTTAAAAACAAAGAAAGAAAAAGTAAAACCAAGCTCAAACAATTTTAGTACAAGCAACATACTCATAACAAAAAATAAAGTAAATTACTCATACAAAAGCATATGAGAAAGAAACTACCTAAAATCTAATCATGCTCATCTGACATAATATATTTAGAAAAAATAACACTAACAGTCTGAATTCAATAACAGGAGAAGAAAAAAAAAACAGAAACAGATTCAATCCAACATCAAAAGATTAATTAGCTCACCCTTAGAAACAAATTCGTCCAATAAGCAGAAAATACTGAAAAATCTCAAGCCAACTCTAGACTTATAGTAATATATTTGTTCTTGACATAACCATTTCTACATCAGAAGATACCAATACTCGCAGAATATTAAGAAAAAATGAAAACTAAAGGCGCAAATACACACTCACATGATAGAGTTCTTGGAAGAGGAACGAAGATGCTGGACCACTATTGAATTGAATCTGCTAAGAATCAAATAACGAGTTTGCAAGAGAAAATATAAAATGAAAATGGAAAGAGTATGTGAAAGTTTTTAGAGAGTAGAGTGGAGAGAGAGAGAAATGCAAGAAACCAAGAAGGAAAGAAGCCGAAATTGTAGAAAGTTGGGAAAGCGTGTGGAATTTATGATTACATTTATTGCTTTGCAAACTAACTCCTCCCTCTTTCCTCTATTTTCATTAGCCGCACCATTTATTTATATGCTTTATTATTTATTTCCCCTTGATTTTATACTCCTATTTGCAGCAAATATATCAATATAATATTTATGCATTTAAATTCCCAAGCGAGGTCCCACATTTGAACCAGATTTCACATTTATTGAATTTCAAAATGATTTTAAAAGGAACGATTAGTTCAAATTTTCTGTTAAATTCTTGGGTCAAATGGTTTTCTTCTATTCCGGTTCGTGCACAAATTGGAAGCTGATTTGAGTCAAAAAAATTTATGACCTATTTGATTATTAACTAATATTCGACATGTGCAAATATACAAATATAAATAAAATATTATAAGTTATTTGTATTCATATAATGATCAATGATTTTTGTTGCAATTTTATGTAGGCCAAATTTTCAATTAAAAGAGCTGAAATATTTATTTTTTTAAATTGTGTTTATCAAATTGGATGCAATGTATATTTTGATATGTATTTTTTTTTTAAAACTATTTATTATTTATTTAGGAATTTCAAATACGTTTTTTATTTTCAAAAGAAGTTAATTTAAATGTAACCACAACAATGACATCTAATCACGTTAAATAGTCAACGCATTATATGGTCAGCTGTAAGTAAATCAAAAGTTTAAAATGATTCTTGTAATTTTAAAATGATTAGTGTGTCGATTATCTAATAATTAAATGAAAAGTTAAATAAATAAAAAATAACGATTTTTAGAGAAAAAAAATTATATTGCCACATAAGTATAATTTAATAAGTTTTATTAAATACTCATTAGCCAGCAATTATATAGATATAGATAGATAATTGATTAATGTTACAATAATGAAAAAAAAATCTTGGGCTTTCGTAGAATATGGGCAAAGATGGAGGGCGAAGGAGAGAAACTAATTTGAACAGATGTGTCGCAACTCGCAATCATTATGGGAGACCACGCGGCGAATCATTTTTACAATTTTGACCCCAACGTCAATTTTTTATGACCGGTTCAAGTTGACCCCACAGATCTTTCTCAATTTTGCAGAGCCGCCACACGCCGGTCCAACCGGGGTGCTCTCATTATGTGTTGACTGAATAATAATGCTGTCAAATTAGCATTTATTCCCACTAAGCAACTATGTCCATTTAATAATATTTCTTTCCTAAAAAACGAATGATTGACAAATATTTTCTTTCCGCTATAAAAGTAGCGATATTTCGTTTCCTTTGTGTGTCTCGATTGGGTCCACGAATGATAAAGATTTTGATCATGCTTTTTCAATTTTTACCATTATCTTGACGGATGATTACGTATCTTAATTCATCTATCCGACACATAACAAAATGACAACATTTTTTGACTTTCAATCATAAAAACAAAAGCTATGGCTAATATTAATTGCAACAAATTGTTGTTAAACAAAAAAAAAATACAAATTGCTCACTTTTATGCATTCACAAAATTTGGGTGTGAACCACTTAATCTACTGTCATAGGATTTTTTATAATAAAATAATAGTTTATATTAATTTTTATAATATGATATTTCAATTTGAAAGTACTCATAAAAACATATAATTAGGTAACTATTAAGTTTAAGGTTGCATTTATTTATATAAAAATGTTGGCAACTATCCATTAATATTCCCACCAAAACTTTTAGTTACTAGATTATAAATTTTAATATTTTTTTAATTTTATTTTTTTCCATAATAAACTTATGATGATAAATTGCATTTCCATTGTTAGTATGAGAAATAAACTATAAAATCATATTATGCAAATTAGGAAAATCACATTATTGTAGAATGAAATTATTTATTGTCAATTGCTCAATCAAAGGTTTTTAAATATTATTAAAATTTAAATTTCAATGCATAAGAGCATCTCCAATGTTATAGCTTTGAAAGACAATAATTTTTAACACATGTCAATCAATGATTGTAATGTTAATCCATGTAGGAATAATGTTAAAAGAGTATAAATTTGAATCAAACTAGTATCTCCAATGCATCAATTTCATAAGAAGTTATTTGTATAGGTGGACCAATTAAAATAATCATTAATACAAGAACAATAAAAAATTAAATCAAATATGAAGTGAATTGATTAGTCATCATGTTTAACATGGTGTTAGATATTAGAAAGTGTGTTCAACATTGTTAACATTAAATGCTATCCACCTCATCATGAAAGAGTTCATGACTAGATGCATTGGAGAATAAATTTGTAACACATTTTCAAAAGTTGATGATATGGATGAATTTTTATAATGTTAAAAGCCACATTGGAGATGCTCTAATAATCGAAAAACTTTAGGATGATTTGTTGGATTATTTCCTTAATTAATATAAATATACTACAATGTGTTATCTTTCTCAATGTGACAAAAAATTATTCTTTTTTTTTTTTACAAATTAGTTATTATTGATGACATGTTATATTGAGAAATGCTATAGGTACATAATATTGTACATAGAGGTGTACATAACAATCACATTAAGTGGGTCCTACCAAGAATAAAAAAAATCAAGTAGATCTCACTCCATGTGAGTGTTATGTACACCTCTATGTACATTTATTATGTATGTAGCATTTTTCTTTTATATTTATATATATGAGTTCCCAGTGAGAATGATTATTAAGTTAAGAAATATGGATGAATAACAGCCATAAGATATGATAGAGATGTAACAGACCACAGGGGATAAGCTCGTTTTGTACTAACCAAGCAAAAGAGCTAAAGCCAAGTTAGTACTTGATTCAACCCGTAAAATAATAACTGAACTGCAAAAATTCTATGGAGTCATCAGATGGTTTTTTTATGGAGCTATCCACTACTTAATGTGTTGACACCTGTCCAAATTGTATGTATTGTAGGACACGTGTCAATACACTATTGGTGAATAAATATCAATGGCTCCATAAGTCGAGCCATCCGATGACTTGTTCGCCTATATTTTTAAAGCTCGACCGCAAGTGTACGGCTTCGCTCGTAGTATGTGGCAAGCAAGGTCGTATCCCAAGAGACCAAATAATTAATATATCAAGTACCAGATTATGATAGTGTCAACTTTATTTAGACGACCGAATATGAGATGGATTAACTAAACTAAGAAAATATAATTAAAGAGAAATAAAGCAAAAATAAAGAACTAGCTAGAAAACACGTAAGAAGATATATGAGAATGATAGATTCTAAGACTTTGGTTTCAATTAATAGTTGGGTTCCTTCAGAAATATCACAACCAATGTTTTCTTTATCTTCCCTATAAGATGATCACAAATTTAGCTTATCGTCCCTCTCAAGATCGATAAAACCGTAGATTAAATCACATATATTAGCGTCTCCACTCAACACATGCAATTCAACTCCAAATAGATTAAAAGATCTAATATCCTCACAACAACCTACTAATCTCTCGATTCAAGCAAGTAAATTGTGTCAAATATTAAAGACCTAATATTGAACTCATCTCTCGAATTATGAACAATATTGTCAAACATGTAAAAATATTGGCCAAGTGCTAAACATGAAACAAGAACAAAATATTTGAATAGGGTTCAAAAGAAAACAATCAATTATAATAAATCATCCAAAATCCCAACATATTAATCTACTACCAAGTCTTAGAATCAAATAAATTAGCTACTCATGTTTGAATTCAAATACATAGACATATTAGAAATCAACATGATCAATAAAAGTTTAAAAGAAAAGAAGAAAGAAAAACTAGGAATCTCGTCGATCTTTCAATCTCCTTGATCCCTTCGTAGTTGATCTCCTTTTGCCTTCCAATTGCTCCTCTTGTGTGTTTCCAAGCCTCTCTAACGTGTTTCCCCATGTTTGGCCTCTCAAACTAGGTTAAATATGCTTCCTTTTGTGTCCAAAAACCTTCTCCTCGTCAAAATAGGTAAGTAGTAAAAAGCTGTTCCCGCGCGCGACACGACCACACGGCCCGTGTCACAGGCCGTGTCGCAGGTCGTGTCAAGTTCAAGCCCTCGGAATGTCCCTGTTCACGTGACACGGCCACCTGACACGGGCATGGTGCCCGTGTCACCGTCCGTGTCACATCCCAGCACTCTTGTTTTTGTCCGTTTCACTCGTTTCTTCTATATTTCTCATCCGTGCATCAATCCATCATCATCTCGGGGGTCCTAGGTACTCACCATGCGCCTCCAATAGCCACAAGCTCTACAAATATGTGAAAATATCTACAAAACAAGCACGTGTAATACCTTTCCAACAAATAGAGAATTAAAGCACAAATATGCGATTTGTACACTACTAATGCAATGACTAAGCTCTAAATACTCAATAAATATGGTGTAAAATCACACATGAACATGACTCCATAGCAAAACTGAACTGACATGTGTATTCAATGGTTGCTTATTCATTTCACCAACGAGTGAGATTCAATGAGCCAATTAACATTGATGTTTTTGTAAGCAATATCGAGTACATGATGTAGTGTTGATAATTTTATGGCCACTATGTCCTAGTGTATCAGGTCGATGACGTCCCTGAAATGAGCTTAAGATGATTTATTATGTCAACCCTGCAGGCAGATTAAGTTCTGGCATAATACGGATGTTGAGTGGCACTAGTTTCAGAACAAGAAGTAAATTAGTGATAGATCAGTAGTTAAATTAATTAAAGGACGTTAAATCTTAAACATGTGGATATAAAGCGAGTAAATAAATCTGGAGATGAATTAAATATAATTTGGGGTTAAATATGAAGTTCAGTAACATTTTTTTAGTGGAATGAAATATTATTCATATGGATTTGTTATAGGTGAACAAGAGCCTAAATCACCTAATCATATAGGGAGTCATTATTTAACACATCCTCTAGGTATTTGGTGTAGCCACAAGATCCAATCGACAGTGAGACTTTTAAAGAGCTTCTGCAAAGTATCGCCCATCAAGACGGAGCCGGAGAGGTCTCATGACATACAACGGAAGATCAAGAGGTCATCCGTTTGTCGGTCCCGTAGACCGTTTAAGTCATCTCACAGTTGGCAATTTTTAAACCATTCTAATCCTAACTTTAGATCCGCTGCAATTAGGATTAATTTCTTAGATTAGGGATTAGTACATCGATCGACGTTTTTTTATAGAACCCAACAACTTTTATCAGAGCAATGGTTTTATTCAATTTTTGTGCAAAATTGAAATAGGATCATATGTGAATCAACTGTGCACNAGAAGGAAAAAAGAAATAAATAATAGAGAAAAGAAATCACTCTTGTTGATTTTGGTAAAAATAAAACTTGTCCTCTTTTTATTAGATTAGATATAAAAATTTAAATTTGTAGTTATTTGAGTGTTGTTTCTTAGAAGACTATGTTCACATATTTAAATTTGTGTAAGAAGACTATGTTCACATATTTAAATTTGTGTAAGATTGATAATTTAAATTTTAGGGCTCTTCAAAGTAAGATAAATTAGATAAAGCATATTATACATTGTAATTTATTTTTTTGATATCGAGAAATATTTTTATAAATAGTCTTGACAAAAAAGTGCATTTGAAAATATTTCAAAATTAGCTACTTTTAGTCCAAATATACTTGAGGTTAATTATAATATTGTTGTGCTAAAAGAAAATGTAAATACCTTATTATAGAGTCATACCAAGCTATGAAAACTTATAAGAATTACTATGAATGTGTATTATTGTATTTATACTTTGTTATGATGTATTATATTTATCTTCTAGAAACAAGTAGGCCCCTACTCATTTTATGTGCTAGATCCGCCCCTGCATCACATAATATATTAGACTTGCAATAAATTAGTTTTGCACGATTCCATGATCCAACTATTATGGCTCAAATTGTGTGTTAATTTCGTTTATGGTTTTTAAAGACTTGGGCATGTCGATGATTTTTTAGGTTGGTGAATATTTGTAATAAATTTAGACGCATGGCGGGACTTCGTATAGTTTATTGCTTTTCTAGAAAAAACATGTAAATCCCAGCATGGGTTGTAGGATTAAAATTGTATCTTTTTTATTATTTTGATGATGAACACGATGACGCAGATGGACCTGGACAAATAACACATCATGGTGAACCTCGATGAGGCGGTCCCCGAGACCGCGTCCAAGGCACTCGGCGATCCGTGGATTTGTCGGGCGAGCACAAGGGCGGCCAGCGGCAGCTTGCCGCCAGACTCGGATGTTGCACGAAGGCGAGCCAACGATGAGGTCAAGGCCAGAGCTGGGCGAGAGCGGTGGACGGGATGGCCGGGCGTAGCGTTAACACTATGTCCAAACTTTTTAAACAAAACTATGCATATTTCAAAACAAAAATATATAAATATATGATCACTTGTCACTTTTGTTCACGTTATTTTTAAGAACTTGATATTTTCTAAATATTTATGAAAAAAAAAAATCGTATATCAACCTAATGATTAAGTTAACCTAATACTTTTAAGAACTTGACATTTTCTAATAAACATATGCATATTTATAAAAAAATTCGTACATGAACCTAATGATTAAGTTAACCTAATACAATACAAGACCTATTAAGGATGTAATAATGGAGTCAACCAAATTGAATAGAACCAATCATGTTCATCCATGTAACTTGAACTGCAATTTCATAATTGAATATATAACAAAGAATTGTATCAAACAAATATATATCTATATCTATATCTATATAATGGACCAATCTCTATTTCCATAATTGATATGATTTGAAAATTTTTATCTATATTTAGTGTATAATTTAATATTTATTTATTAATAGAACATATAAATAAAAGAGAATTTGTCTGCGGAATAGTTTATATTTTATTAATTATAAATTACATTAAACATAATTGTTGCATATATTTTTAATAAGATATTAATATTAATTTTTAGTAATTTTTGACACAATTAGTCGAATATATTCATTATAGTTATACAAACTAATATGACTAATTATTATTATATGGCTGTAAATATTAATTTGAGCAACTATGTTCACTGAGCAGAAGCACATAAAATATATAAAGATATACTCCAAGTAATATGTTTGAAATAATTTAATTAATTGAATGGTTTAAAAAATCAATAAATTTTGATAAAATATATAGTCAACCTTTGTTGTGTATTCAGTCGTTGACTGCTGTGTATTCGCACATTTGTGCATTTTGATTTATAATATATCTATCGTTTNAACATGTTATGTTACAAAATGAACATGTGCAAACATGATTTACACATGTTCATTTTGTAACATAACATGTTCATTTGTGGCACACCTAACTATTTGCGCCAATCGCTTCCGAAACAGGAAAAATTTAACTACCTCATATGCAAATAAATAAAGCCACCTAATTAGAAATCATTATTTATTTTCATTATCTTTATTTATTCTCTCTCTTCTTCTTTCTCTCTCTTCATTATCTTTCCCACGTAATTTCTTTTCTTCTTTTCTCTTTTCTTCTTCCCCTTCTTTTTTTTTTGACGAAACGATAGGGATTCTATTAAAAAACTCAAACGAACCAAGTTCGAATAATACAAACCAACCCGAGAAGGGAAAAGTGAGAGGACACGCATATAGCGGCCTAGAACCTCAATAAGGAATAAAAAGAAAAAAGAAAAAATAACCAAGGACCTTGGTTTTACCTCCACTGCCTAAGCCTAGAGACAAAGCCAAGATCAAACCAAAGAGAATACAACATCACAAACACACAGCACTAAGATAAAACACAGTACAAGGGACCAAGAACAAAAACAGACAAAGCAAATCGAACTAAAGACTAGAGAACTCCAACCAGTTGGCCAATGCAGCTTTAATCACCATGTGCACTGGCATCTGAATTTATAATTATACTAAAGAATGATAAATTTTAAGGATTAATGCTAGTCAACTATCAAACAATATGATAATTGCGAATTATTAAAAAAAAATTACAAGGTTAAAAACTATATAACTTAAAGTATATGCAAGTAATTATATACAAACATCATAATTGATAAATTAAGCTTATATGATTTCATAAACTTATAAATAAAAAAATTTATATATTAAATAATCAAAACTTCAATAAATAAATAAAAAATACTAAAAACATTTAAATGATTTTTACATTTTCATTGACCTGATACATATTGTAGATTAAAGTTCATATAATATCATAAATAATTTAACAATATTTGAATAATAAATATTTTATAATATATCTCGTGCATCGCACAGGTATCAATGCTAGTAAATGTTACATGGACCAAAATGCCATTCCCAGTAACAGCCAACTTCTTTCCCACAAATGTTAGTCAAAACTTGAAAGATCTGAAGTCAGCCAAAAACAACCAAACAAAAACCATAATTTCATCATTTACAACATGCTCAAATAGTGCATTCATTGAATGCTTTAAGATCTGCCATGAGGATATAATATCATCTCATATTGAAACAACAACAAACTCAAAACTCCAAAATGAATCACAGATGATCATTCTTGTATGGAGCATTCTAAGAATCATAGATTTGGCTCCTCGGTGTTTTTCCAATCCTGGATTTGCCCCATCTTAGTGTTTTCTCTGTAAATAGTCACATTTCAGTAAGTACTATCAGGGCATCATGTAGTTGAAAAGACCATTTAAATAAGTCATCCAACCGAAGAAACAAGTAATTGAATCTAGTCTAAGAAAAACATTAATCACCTTTACTAGAACAGAACATTGATCCCATTAACTAGAACAAATATTACATGACAGATACACGCGAAACATATATTTACATAATGTATTTTATAAGACATGTATATTAACTAGAATGGAACATGGATCCCATTTGCTACTGCCAAAATCTTCTCTTCGATGAACTTAACAAAAATAAAGGCAGACTCCTTGATAGTGTTTTAGTAAATCGATGAGTTACAAAGAAACAATATGTTGCTCTTTCCAAAAAGGCATGAAAAAACAATAAAAAACAAAATCTACTTGTAGATATAGAGATATACCAAAAGGCATGAAAAAACAAGTTTTGATTGGTTCTCAAGGGCGTATGCACGTAGAATGCTTCAAATGATTTATGCATAAGTTCTGCCTGACATAACGACGACAAAATCGTACAGAAACTCTTTCCAACAGTTCTAATGCGCCCATAATTGAGATTCAGTTCGATAACAGAGACTGGTGTTTCCAAACAGATATAAAGAAAGAACAAATCATCTGTCAATTAGTGTCAAGATAAATTATTATACCACGAAACAATGCGAGGCAGCTATGTGAAAGTTAGTTTTTAATTGAAATAAAACTCCTGTTAAGACGTTATTAGAGCCACAAGAAAGTTTACTATCAGAGAATAAATATAAGCATATATCAGCATATATCAGCATATATACCTTCCGCTTCTTAAATTTTTCATCTCCGAACCTTGTAGCATTGCTATAGTTGGATGAAGGTTGCTCCATTATGTCACCCTCCAGCGGCAAAGTTTTAATCTCATCATAAAAACTTTCAGTCAGACCAAGCAACCTGGGCCAACCAGAAGAAAGCCAGCACTTGAATCAGTCAATTAATAAGATACATAAAAAATAAATAAAATAAATAAAGGTTCAAAATTGGCACATTCAGGAATGTAGCCGCCTACTGCTCTTCTTAGGACTTACCCGTTTCTTGATTTCTTTAAATGTTTAATCTTCTTTTTCTCAACTTTAGTGAGCGGAGCACGGGAGAAAAGTTCCTCTTCTCGACGAGCACGGTCTTCTATCTTTGCAATGGCATCCATCACTTCTCTACTGTCTGATCCTAGATTTTCTCTGACCTGTAAAATTTTTTGGTCAACAATAGATCAGCATATAATGATGGTAAAGAAAAAATAGAAAAGGTCGATTAACTACAAAAGCACCCTGAGATAGAGCATTAGTACAAAAAGAACAATTATCTTTCAAAGACAAAAATACTCCATTTACATGTTTCTGTTTTATGCATTGCATGATTTGCATCCTCAAATACAAACCAAAAGCATGCGTTATTATCAAGGGGATAAATGATGAGTTGAAATTTTTGAAAGATAAACAGAGTTTTCTGTCATGACACTAAAGGTTATGCTGAAGTTTTTGTAATTATCCCTAAAAATGTTTACCACCTCTTCAGGTCTTCCCTCAAGATCATTCATTAGCTCCCTAACATAAGCACTCTTCCTTGCTTGTCGTAAAATTTCTTCATCTCTTCTCCGAGCATTTCTCTCCTGTCTTGACATCTTATCTTCATCCATAGAAGAAGGTGCGAATTTCGGGGGTTGATATACACCACTACGATTCTGCAAAGCAATTACGTGATAATTCTTGCACGTGAAAAATGAGAATGAATGCAAGTAATATATACAAATACTGATTTTAGATAGTTTAAAGTAACCAGTTCTAGCAGACTGAATGGTCCAATTACCTCCATAGTTGTATTTGTTTTGCTAACAAGTAAGTCAGGATTCGGGCGAAGTTTTAATGAGTCCTCACCCTCCGGAGTTTCATCTGCTTCCTTCCCATTCGAGCCTTGTTTCTCCACTGTTGTTGTGGTCCTTGTCAGTTTTTTAATTTGATATTGGAGTTTCCTATCGATTGGCCTAATCTGCGTGAAAACAAGCGATGGATAACTTAATTTCCAAGATGTAAGAAATGGAAAATACAATGCAGAAATTTCATGATGCTTCTTCATAGCTGTCTGTTTGAAAGAAGATGCTTCAGTGAGGGTGTACGCTGCAATTAGATATGAAAAATTCCTCATTTTCATTTCATAAGAGATATTTCATCATCGAAGTTTGATAGCATAAAAAACCATTCATAAGATGCACTAAGAAGCCCTCCTTATTTTCTTCTCCCATCTACACATTCTTCAAAACTGAAGGAGAAAAAAACAATAACTACTACACAATTCCCTTCAAAATCAATATTAACCTCCTCAAGGATTTCTAACTATCTTATTTTCAATTATTATGTTATTGTGTTTAAATCATATCAACTTTAACAGTCAAATTGTCATGTTATATCCATTCATCGCTTAAAAATTCATCGTTTCATTATTCTCTTGATGAAGGAAAACAGAGAAAGTGAAATTATATCCAACCGAAACCTAATTGCTACGTTACTTACTGGGTTTTCTATCATTTTCTACATTTCACACAGAAATGATGGACAAAATATATAAGAAAATACCTTCTCTAAGAATAATCTAATCTCAACAAGACTCCTAACAACTGGATGCTGCTGAATTGATAATCCGGTTGCCTTGCACAGCAGAAGATAAACAAGTGACTGGCAATAGTTTAGAAGCAGCAAGTGTTTTGCCTCAAGATAGCTTATCCCATCTGATGTAGGGAAATTATCAGCTTTCACCTGCACACAAGCTTAGCACATTTTAAAAGGACAAATAAAATAAGAAGTTACTTACTATCAGCCTCGCACTAACATTTTACTATCCAACAAGAACAAAACATGGTAATGTGTACAATATCATGTGAATAATATTATATAAGTTAATCAACAACCCTACTAAAAATATGTGGAGCAATGTTTGATAATGTAAAGTAATGTCAAATGGTAGAAAAATCAGGTAAACAAAAAGTCAAGAGCATTATATGTTGTCGCCCAATATTAAAGATGAAATGATAAGAAAATTATCAGACCTTGCAATAGTCTACTATCATATTATCTTCCTTTAGCTTCTGTACTATACCTATACCTTCTCAGTCATCAGACGCAATCTAGAGGAGCTACAAATTAACTAAGACTTACTCCGCTTAATGTTTTGTTGCAAATAAGCAATTTTATTTTCTCGATCGAGATCATTGAGTAAAATGACTATTTAGATCCATACCTAGAGCTATAGGAATCACAACACCAAATCAAGATGTTTAGAAAAGCTGAATATCAGGAAACCCTGCTTCAGTCATTTATAGCGATGCAAATGTAGAAGTCAGATTAAAAGAACCAACAAGTTTATATTAGAAGAAACAAACAAAGCTGATCGGACTAAAGGGATAAAACTTAACACCATCGATTTGGAAAGGCCAAATTGAAGTAGACGGCGGGAAAACCTGAGCCTTTTTCATCAATTGAAATAAAATATGATAATGGTAGCGACTATTTCATGCCAGGTATCACAGATAGAAAATGTCCAAAGCACGACAGTCAGGATTCCATGAACTAGGTCTATTTCTCAAAAGGAAAAGCACCTCACTGAAACAAACTTAGATCTTCACAATAAGATTTAATAACATTAAAAAAAAACACTGTCAGGTCAAGTTAGCATTTCTTGCCAACAATTAATATCCATCATAGTATTGTACAGTCATTCAAACATCAATTCATGCTTACAAGCAACCAACTTCAGCAATGTCACACCTTGTGCAATGTACAACATTTTCGAACAATGTTTGTTGGTTTCAAGGTAAGAGTGATAACACGATTAATTTTGTGGACTAAACAAGGGCAAGCTGCGGTCTAGTATGCTTGACTTAGTTCGCTTATCAGGATTACATTACATACAGTAAATACCCATAGTAAAAGTTAGGCCTACAACCAATTATTTTGGAGTAGATATTCATGAATACAAAATGAGCAGAGCCAAAAAGCACATAAAATTTCCTGCTTAGTTAAGCAAACAATAATTCATCAAAAACTTAAAAATCACTTATCAGGTCAAAGTTTCAGGGAGTGAGCCATACTTTAGCTGTTAAAGCCTGGATTTTATTCCTAAAAGTGTCCAAACCGCACTTCATTTCCTTCAGCAGAGCAACAAGCTGTGGAGATTCTCTGTACCATTCCATTAATAAAGGATGAGATTTTTTTTTTCTTTCTTTGAAGGAAAGAGAATAATAACATAACCCATCTACAAAGGAATAACTGAATCATACTTACCTGCTAATTTGTTCATTGTTCGGAGTAGTATCCATGGCCTCTCTAGGTGATCTACTGAATTCCACAACTATGAAACTGCCAATGATCTGCAAAGTGCATAAATGAAAGTATGCAAGAAAGTCATTAGAAAGTATGCCCGAGAGTAACTAGCTTTACACTACATACCATATAGTTTAACTTACTTCAAACTGATAAAGTTAACATTTTTCTGTTAATAAAATGTTATCTAGGTGTTGGTCTACTGTATATCTAGGTATGAGGTGCATTAAGCTCCAAATTCATGCAAAATAAAAAAGGCCAAAGAAAGGGAAGAAAAGCATCTTGAATATTCAATCATAGATTCTAAGATCCTAAATCTTACATTGCATTTTATCTCACCAAACAGAATAAGCTTTATTACTCTCTTATCTATTGTCCAAATGAAGTAATATCACACAGCTAAAGGTTATCTGACTATCTTCAGAAAAGCGCACCTTTGTAGCCGCAACTTAGTCATGATCAATATAAGAGNAAACCCGAATTTGCAAACCAACCAGAGAGTCGGTATCCTAATGATATGGAACAGCAAAGGAAGAAGATGAAGCATTTACCTAGCAGCAGTGCCGTTAAAGTGGTGGTTGCGGCGAGTGGTCACGGTGGCTAATTGAGGGAGTGGTGGTGTTTGCGGCGACTGGTCAGGGTTTTGGGTTTAGCAACTGTGTGAATCGTTGTCGCTCTTTTAACATAATCACAAATTATTGGCTGAGTGGTGGTGTTTATCCAATCATCGACCTACTGGTTCATTATTGGTTCAATTAGTACTTGAACTGGTTGAATCGATATTTAATTTATTAATATTTTTAAATATATATAATATTTTTATATAACAAAATTTATGTATAAGATTTTGTTAATTAAATATTAAGTCAATTTAAAATATTAAATATTGTCAGATATTTAGTTGCTCTAGAATAAATTTTTTACACAACCAAATAATAAGTTATATCTATACTTATATTAAAAGGTATCCCATTTACCAAATATAGTATAAAGAAAAGTCAAAGGTAATTAATGTTTGCTGAAAATAGAATGACATTAATTACAGATTTATTTTAGTATTTATAGCCTGACATTAAAGATTTGTTATGGGATAAAAATCAAAACCGATTTTTTTACCTTTGCTGGAAAAGTCAAATGTAAGTATAGATTTGTTTTATTCCATAACATCTGTTTAGTTAAAAAAATCTCATAAAATCGGTTTTAATGTCAAGCCTATAAATAAAGATTTAATCGGTTTTAATAATTGCATAGAATTTTAAAGTTGTTATTTATTGTAAAAAAATTAAATTCTAAAAAAATATTTGTGTATATTTTGTAAAATGTTTGTACAAAATGTTTTACTTTAAATTTATTTACATAATTTAAATTAATTACATTAATAAATAATATGAACATATATTAAATATTTTAATTACATAAAATAAAAAGAAGAAGAAGATTACATCTATAACTTATAATAATAATGACATTATACTACAATAAATTTTATAATGAAATAATATAAGTATTATACGAGGAACAAGATTACGTAAAATTGTTATTTTTCTTATATCAATGAATAAATATATATAATGAAATTAAATTTATATTATTATAAACATGTGAGCGAGATAATATATTAATTAATTTACGGGCTAGCGCTACCAGACTCAGGTTTAATGTTCCGACAAAAAAAATGACGTTGATGAAAAAATGTAAAAAGATAGATGATCAAACTCTATTATTTTTTAGGCCTGAACGGACAAGCCCTATGATCCACTCGTTTAATATCTCCCGTGAATCGCACGAGCTACTTAACGGACAAGTTCTGTGGAAATAACTCACTAATACTTATGTCCCGTGCATCGCACGGGTTACGTGCTAGTTTCACATAAAGTGTGAAATAAATTATACATGACATTATGTTGCCTACATTGTATTTAAACACCGCCAAATAATAAGTTACAACAATGCATATGTATATTACGAAATGTCATTCTGTTGCCTACATTGAATTTTAAACACATGTCATTTGAGAATGAAAGTATATATATTTATTAAAAAAGTATTTCTGGCTAATAGGTAGCATAACAGAATACCTAGTGATATCAACACAAGTTATTACCTCAAAAATTATAAAACCAATTATTAATAGATAGGAGCGCTTGGAGGCTAGCAATCAACGTGTCAGAACCGTGATTTTTGCTCATTTCTTTTTTGCTCCATTCTCTTTCTTTTGTTTTGAACTTTTTTTGTGTTTCTCTTATCTTTGGTTCTCTTGGGTTTCATCTCTAGTCTACTCCAACTTGCTTGGGACTTATGTTGTTGTTGTATTAATAATTGTGTATAACCATTTTCAATGCAACTTGACTACTTGAAGTTATACCAACAAGTATTAAACATCCATCTAGCGTCACAAATGCGTGTAGCTAATTTACATAAATATATATATATATATAATATATATATATATATTATGTTGAGTACAACAACTTTTTGTAACCACATATGCTTACATATTTGATATTACATATTAGCAAATAGTTTATACGTTTTAGCGTCCAAAACAATTTGTCTCACCGATGCAACTGTTCCTACCGCACACAACACGGTGGAAGTTACTGCAATAACAATGTTAACCCAAAAACTAAAGCTTTTTGTAGAGGGCTTAAAGGTGACGTTATAGAAAACCATGGGCAAAATAAAGTCTAGAGGAATGCAACCAATTGCCCCAAAAAGTGCCATGATATCTCCAAAGAAAGGGAGCATGGCCGCCAAAGTTGTGGCCACGATAACTGATAATGATCGAAAAATGAGTCGCGGAATAGCATTGCGCATAGAGAATTGGTCCTTCTTCGGGTCCGCAAATTTCCGTTCTATCACAATGTTTGTTGGCTGCAAGTAGACCTACAAGACATGTAGCAAGATATAATTATAATTCTGAAAAATGTGCTAACAATCCTTATATTTTACATTTCTAGATAAGTTTTAAAATTATTTATAATGATTTATTTTTTCAATCTCTTAATTGTAAATCGATTTAATGATTTATAAAATCGAGTATTTAGTTTGGTTGTTACATTTTTTAATATTGATTTTTACTTTTTTTTTTGTTCTAAGTATTTAAAACTTGATGGTAAACATGTCGATATTTAGTAAATATATTTTTATATGAAATAAATGTTTTGACTTAAAGTCTTAAACTACAAACTCGTTATTTAACATTTAAAATCTAGCCCCCTGAATGAAATTCCTAGATCCATGTGCATACATATAGTTCTTTAATCTGTACTTATATTAAAAGGTATACCATTTACCAGATTTAGTATAAAGAAAAATCAACAACATTTATTGCATTACTATTTCCGTATTATACAATCTATACTTATATAAAAGGAGATTCTATTTACTACATTTACTATCCAGAAAAGTCAACTGCATTAAATGCCATTACTATTTTAGTATTATAATATTTTATTTATTTAATTTATTTATTTATTTATTTTATTTTAAAAAGGTAAGTATAATAAAAAGACTTTAATAATAAAAAAATCAAATACCAAATAAAAATGTACACTTTGACTTATTTGATTATATTTGGTATTTGATTATACCAAATATTTTCCATTTAGTATATACATTAAATACTTACTAAAGTATTTATTTATTTTATTTGTCAAAGTGAAGTATAGATTTGTTTATATTATCAAATCATAAAAATATTAAATCCATATTGTAAAATAAAAAAAAATCATATAATTTTATAACAATTCTACTACACTATTTAACAATATTTCTTTTTTGTTATATAATAAAATAATAATTAAATATTATATGGTGAACAACAATAAGTAAAACTGTTACTTTCTCTTATATCAAGGGATAAATTTATATGCTAAAATTAAATTTTTATTAGTATAAATGTTTTAGTGAGATAATATATTAATTATTTTACAAGCTAGCCCTAATATGCTCATATTTAATGTTTTAAAAGATGTAGAAAAAAATACTTATAATAACTCTATTGTTTTTTAGACTTAAACGTTGATTAAAAGAGGTAAAACTTCCTAACTTTTTAGACTTAAACGTTGGTTAACACCATAGATTGAGAGTTTATATTTAGTAAAATTCCTAATTGTAATAAAAAATTAATTTTTGCTATATTTTAGAATATCTTTAAATTCATATTAAAAAAAAAAAGAAAAAAAACTATAATGAAAAAAACAAGTCAACTATATATATCGATTTGTTGTACTCCTCAAATCACATTCACAATTTGGCTACAAGCAAAGGAAACTCATTGATTAAAATATTATTTTGTCAGTAGTCTTAATGTACAAGAGACTTTAAGACTCCACTTGAATATTATAAAACTTTTATTGAACATTGTACAATTTTCTTGCGTATTATAAACTTTTATTGAATATTGCATCTTATAATATAATATTCTCCAGATAAATATATCTCGTGCTTGGCACGGATCACGTACTGTATTATAAACTTTTATTGAATATTGCATCTTATAATATAATATTCTCCAGATAAATATATCTCGTGTTTGGCACGGGTCACGTACTATATATATCCCGTACATTTTTCTTTATTCATGTATATAATTATAAGTCTGGATAAATATCCTTAAAATTGTGCATCCCGTGCATCGTACGGCCTCTGTACTAGTAGCTAGAGTGAGCAGTTGTACACTAAATGTATAATCACAAACTAATAATTATGGAATTCTATATCAACCAATATGACACTCACGGGAACTACAATGACGTGGGAGATTAGATGATTTACAAAAATACATGAACAAAAGAGGAAAAGAATATGAAACAAATGAAATTAATTAATAATAATATTAAAAACATACGTACCAAAGTGACGGCAATCAACTGCACAAGAGTGAAGACACAGATGATAAGAAGAAAGGATTTGGGCAGTAAGGGCAATCCATCGGCGCCAATAAAATTTGAAAGAATAGGGCCCTTAGCCTCATTTCCAAACGCCCAATACCCAGAAATGGCTACACTGTAATAGGTGGAGACCACCACAGAGTAGCACAACAACAACCCTTTCAACATTTTCCCCCTCACTGGAGGTGCTATGGTGGCCTGCAGTTAAATTCATTTAATTAATTAATATTGTCACATTAATTATTAAACTGCTAGACATCAAAATTAAATATAGGCAAAGCAAACCTGTATTTCAGGAACAATTGAGTTCCCATAGGTTGTGGCCATTATTGAGATGGCATTGAAGACACCGAAAATACGATTTAGTCCTTCACTGGTTATACTGTAATCTTTTTCCAGTTGACCCTCTTTATCATATCCTATGATGTACAATATAATATTAAAGTTAATGATATCATTATTATTATTATAATATAGTTGCTGTAATTATCATATAATAATTGATGGATAAATGAATTAATTAATGATTTTTACCAATATATATGGAGGCAGCTGCTGTGAAGGCGCTATAAGCAAGACATAAGAGTAAGGAGAGAAGATTGATGTGCCTTAGAGAGTGAAAGGATGGCATTTGTGCCATGATTAAGGTTAGGCTTCCATACATGACGATGAATTGGTACAGCTGCATGCTCCCTTCTTCTCTTGATATTACATAGATAAACTGCAAATTACATAAACTAATTTAATTAGGTGCAATTAATTAATTAATTGGTAAATATGATTTATTAATTTTTACACATATTTAATTTTATACCTTGAGGAGCTGCCCACCAAGAAGTGTAGTGGCAATGACCGCACCATAACAGACCACCAATTGAAGTGGGCCCACCAAGTAACGGCCCCATCCAGGCCCTGTCCAGTGGGCGTTTACCCATTAATCACTCAAATCAATATCTTTTGAAAAGTCAAAAGATATATATAAAAACTCAATAACCTCGTGCAATGCATACACGAAAAGAGTAAAATATCTGTACAATATAGATAAGACGTACTTATCATTTTGGGTGAACAATAATAC